AGCAGGTTCTCTGGGTTCCACCAGCAGGTTCTCTGGGTTCCACCAGTAGGTTCTTTGGGTTCCACCAGCAGGTTCTTTGGGTTCCACCATAACAGCACCAAGACCTCCTGAACACAGCTTTGATCAGCTGAGCTCAGCCGGGCTCTTCAGTATCTCCACACCACATGGAGTCCTTCACCCTGGGGGGCTCCTTACATGGAGACAGTCCAGCCCCTATTACTTTCAATTTTTAAAACATCTTCTTAACAGAGTCATATTCTGGTTTTCAGAAATTCTCAGAAGCCGTTAGCTGTTAGCCATTAGCTGTTAGCACAGAGAGCTCACAGCTCCTCATATCTGTCCACGTGTAACTGGTGTTGATTAGCGGTGTCTGCGTTGTGTTTCTTTTGTTGAAGGATGATACCCGAGCCAGCATATCGTTGAGCCGATCTCCGTTTATTCATTGACTGACAACAGATATACAACAAATCAGTAGTTATTACATTAGTTTTCCCTCACTTTGACTCCTCTCACGTGGAACACATTCACAAATAGGGAAGAGGAAAACGTGAGGGACACACAATGAAGGGGGGAAGTCCCCACAAAAATAATCCTCTGTGTACATGTTACGGTGAGTGAAGCAAGCAGGACCCAAATGCAGATAACGCTGAAAAATGCCTTTATTTTAAGGATAAATAAAAATAACTTGGACAAAACAGAACTCTCACCGGTGAACTCAATCACAAACAAAAGACGAACCAACACTGAACGAGACCAGACTAAATACAGGTAGGGGTTATCACAAGACGAGAAACAGCCGGGCAGGGGAGGAGAAACACAAGGGCGACAGGTGAACACAATCAGTCAAACCGGGGAAAAAACACAGGAAGAAGGACCAGACAATACACAAGGAGGAAAATGGGTGGGTGGAGGGGGGTCCGGAGGAGGGACACACAACTAGGGCCACCAGGGTGGGTGGAGGGGGTCTGGAGGACAGGTTTTTGGGCTGACAGCCCAGGAGCACAGCGGAGGACCCGGAAGGGATCTCGGGCGGACGGCCCGGGGGCAAGGCAGAGTCCAAGGTGGGGCGAAGGCCACAGCGGGCGAACTCAGGGGGCCGAGCATGAGGGCGAAGGCAGCGGCAGGAAGAGTCAGGGGGCCGGGCTCGAGGGCGGAGACCACAGCTCTCAGGGGGCCGGGCTCTCAGGGGGCCGGGCTCGAGGGCGGAGACCCCGGCTCTCAGGGGGCCGGGCTCTCAGGGGGCCGGGCTCGAGGGCGGAGACCACGGCTCTCAGGGGGCCGGGCTCTCAGGGGGCCGGGCTCGAGGGCGGAGACCATGGCTCTCAGGGGGCCGGGCTCTCAGGGGGCCGGGCTCTCAGGGGGCCGGGCTCGAGGGCGGCCGGGCTCGAGGGCGGCCGGGCTCGAGGGCGGAGACCACGGCTCTCAGGGGGCCGGGCTCTCAGGGGGCCGGGCTCGAGGGCGGAGACCATGGCTCTCAGGGGGCCGGGCTCTCAGGGGGCCGGGCTCTCAGGGGGCCGGGCTCGAGGGCGGCCGGGCTCGAGGGCGGCCGGGCTCGAGGGCGGAGACCACGGCTCTCAGGGGGCCGGGCTCTCAGGGGGCCGGGCTCGAGGGCGAAGACCAGACAGCTCCGGAGGGTAATCACAAGACGAGAAACAGCCGGGCAGGGGAGGAGAAACACAAGGGCGACAGGTGAACACAATCAGACAACTAGACACACCAGGGAAACTAACGACGGGGGGAAAACACAGGAAGAAGGACCAGACAAGATACCAGGAGAAAAATACCCATAACCAGACATACAAAACTACAAACGTGACAAATCATAAGAATCCTGACAGTACAGTGACTGAATTTTGGAGGTTCTGCCCACTGATTTCAAACCTAGTGAGTAATTTAACATTTTAATAAATGAAGAACACAGAATTATTAAATACAAAACACAGAATTTATGTGATTATACTAAATGATTTACAAATAACTATTTAACACTAAACACCACTGCATATTTACAACTGTTACTGTGACGGAGCGGATCACAGAGTGACTCCGCCACTGACAGCCGACACACACACACACACACACACACACACACACACACACACACACACACACACACACACACTCACACACTCACACACACACACACACACACACACACACACAAAACATTTCCTGCTCTCTTCCGTGAAATTAACCATGCAATTTATTATTTATTTTGCGTTTGTTAATTATGGGAAATGATTGTGTTAAGAGGAAGTTAACCTGTTTATGTTTGGGTCGGATTTTTATGTTGACAATGTGGTTTGGAGTTTAATTGTGTCACCTGTTGACGGTAAGCCTGTGGGAGGGGCTAAGGGTTAAAAAGGGACGGTTTGGCCCTGGAAGTGGGCACTCGGGGGAATGTTGCAGTGAAGGCAACAGCAGAACACGTTTACTCTCCGTGAGAGATGGACGGCCTGATTTGGACGTTTATTTTGTTTGTTTAAAAGTTGTGCTGGTTCACTATTTTTTTGTTGCTGCTGTAAATAAAGTTGTGGAGCTTAACCCAACCGACTAGGCCAGTGTTTTCGAACGGACAAATAGAGCCCCGTCACAGTTACACAGAAACTGGAGAAAGTTATAAATATAAAAACCACAGCCTGTCTGTGGCATAGAGACTACTGTCGCTGCTTTATTTTTGTCTGTGTGACGTTGTTGTGAGTTGTTAGCTTAGCCTGATCTCCATGCAGAAAACATTTAAAAAGTGTTCCTCTGCCGTCTTGTCTGCACACTTGTCAAAGCATGAAAACATGTTTTTTCTAACCGGTATCAGTATGTAGTTATGTGGGCATAATTTTGAAACGTGTTTTACAATTACCATGTTATTTTTCTAATTTACAAGTTGAATCATTGGAACATAATTGTTCTCATGCCCTTTTTCTAAATTATTTTTTGTTTAATGTGAGGGATTGGTTGTTGCTTAAATTACTGGATATTCATGCCTTCGAAATATGTCACATTTAATTTTATATTAATAATATTGAATCTTTTTCAATATCTGATTTGGTTCATATAATAATTATTTTGAGTAAAACCATATAGGCTACACTGCTGTTAATGGAAAGGTAACAAGCCATCCTTTTTTGTTTTAAAGGTCCCATGTCATGCTTTTCCAGTTATTACCCGTCCCCTTGTGTGTTGTGAAGGTTTTTAAGCATGTAAACGGTCTGCAGAGTCACAAACTCTCAAAGTATACCCTGTAGGGAGTAAAACTCTAACACAGAAAATACCTCCCCAAAACGCCTCGTTGGAGATTTCTCATTTTCTTCCTGGGTACTCTGACGTGGGGATACCAGAGGCCACACCCTCTGCCAGCCTTTCACGAAACAAAGCTTCCCAAACATTTCAGGATTCATGCCGGATATGTACAGCGTAGGGCACTGAAGAACGATGCTGTTCCTACTTTGTTTGGACCAGCGGGTGATTCGGGTACACAACCTGTAAGTATTCCAGCCTGTCCTCCTACAAAAAACGACCATATAGGCCGATTGTTCATGCCCTTATTACGACCCAGAGACACGTTTTAAAGTGTATGTTGTTTCTTACACGACCACTAGAGGTGCTCCAGTGGTCGTGTCACGGCCCGTCCACACAGCGGCGTGCGTTGAAGCTTCCAACGCTTCTGCCCATTCACTTTGAATGGGGTGACGTCACTTTTAGCCGAACTGCATCGTGGGAAGCGACGCGGAGCGTTGCTGGCGTGGCTCGCTGCAAAAGTTGAGCAATGCTCAACTTTTGACGCCTCGGCAGAAGCGTCAGCCAATCGAATCATATGCCAGTACAAGCTCTAGCCAATCAAACCGCTGCTTGTGTGTCAGGGGCGGGAGATTCATGTGATTGGTTGTTGGTCGAGTTTCAGACACGCCCGCCGGCAAGCGTCAACGCACGCCGCTGTGTGGACGGGCCGTCAGAAACAACATGCTCCCGGCCCGTTCATTGCAAACGCTCCGGAGGGACGTTTATTCACAAATAACCCTCTCTGGAAAATCCTAAATTGTGGAATAGTTTGGCCATTAAAATGCTTTTGGATTCGATTTCTGGCGAGAAGTGTATATTGTACTCTTAGAATCCACGTCCAGTCGATGTGTAGGATCTATAGTTTGATAGATATTATGAAGATGATCTGAGGTCTCGCCAGGAGAACGTGTATGCAGCTTCCATGTAAAGTTAGCGTGGGTCAAAACAGTTTTTCCGGTCTCGAAGTTTTCATAATAAAACCGGATATATTCCCTCACTGTCAAATGATTACACAGTGATATCTGCATTACTCATCCACTAAAAAACATCAGTGTATCCTTGTTAATTACACAATATTGATTGGTTTAAATTGTGTACAATGCTTTTGTGTTTTTAACCTTCGATTCGGAGAAACAAATTGGTTTTTAGGAGTTTAGACACTACAGTTTCCGAAGACACTACACTACCCAGAATCCCCAGCTATCGTTCGGGACTACAACATCCGCCTTGCTTTACAAACCCTGTGATTAGTCATCAAGCCCTGTGATTGGATGTTGGAGTGGCAGCGCGACAAGGTTACGCTGAGGGTCACAGCTCTATGATATGGAATGGAACCACGGCAGACTTTCCAAAACAGGAAATGGCAGACGAGTCCAGCCCCGTCTGCCATTTCCTGTTTTACTTTGTCATTTCCTTTCTCTTTTCAGGTAGTTCGACTCCTACCTTGTCAGTATGCTCACTGACCTGATTACCTGCCCCACCCTTATTGTTTGCACCTGTGGAGTCCCTTGTATGTGTATATATTCTGTGTGTTCCCTGTGCTCAGTGCCAGATCGTTTTGAACCTTGTGAATGGATTACCTTGCTTATCACCACAGTACAAACCTTTTTTGAATAATCTTTTGTCTGGAGTCGTGCATTTGGGTCCTATCAGTTTTTGTGTGCTCCAGTCGTAACACAAGGGATCCTGACATAACGTCAACATAGGACGAGTTGGGAGTGAGAATGTGTTGCTTTGACCTCTCTCTGTTGTATCTTCTGTCCTCTCCAGACTCTGTCAGGCTGGTGAATGGGACCAGTCTGTGTTCAGGTAGACTGGAGGTGAACTCTAACCACTCTAACCAGTCTAACCCGTCCTGGTCCTCAGTGTGTGAGGCTGACTTTGACCAGCAGGATGCTCAGGTGGTCTGCAGGCAGCTGGGCTGTGGGGCTCCTTCAGTCCTCCAGGGGGCGCTCTATGGAGAAGGGGAGGCTCCAATGGGGACCACAGAGTTCCAGTGTGGAGGCCATGAGTCTGCTCTGCCTGGACTGTAGCTCAGCCTCAGAGAGAAACACCTGCTCACCTGGCACAGCTGTTAGCCTCACCTGCTCAGGTAGAGAGGAGCTGTGATTGGTTCATTCTGTTCTCATCAAACTCTCTTTATTCTCTCTCTGATGACTCTCTTGTTTCTCTTCAGAGCCTGTCAGACTGGTGGGAGGACAGAGTCGCTGTGCAGGAGACCTGGAGCTGAAGCATCAGGGAAAATGGAGACCAGTGAGCTATAACTCTCCCTGGACCCTGGAGGCAGCAAATGTTTTCTGCAGAGATCTGGACTGTGGCTCTGCTGTTTCTGTGGGAGAGAGAAAGGAGTCCTCAAAGAGACGTGTGTGGTTGATCAGATCTACCTGTGTTCAGTCTGGATCTGCTCTGAGGGAATGTGCAGCATCAGGTCCCTCTAATTACATCCTGTCTCTCTCCTGCTCAGGTAAGCCCATGACATTATATATGACATCATGTCATTTGTCTCTTTGTCAGAGGCCATTTTTCTAAAGGGAAGGTGAATGTCTCTCTCTCTCTCTCGCTCTCGCTCTCTCTCTCTCTCTCTGTTGTCAGATCTGCTGTTTCAGCCCAACATCTCTGTGTCCTCCTCCATGTACGGGGTCTCCGGGGCCCAGCAGCAGGGGATCCAGGTGTTCAGAGGCTCCACCTTCACCATCAGCTGCTCCATCCAGCCTCAGTACCCAGGAGGCTCCTTCCAGCTCAACTTCCCCTCCATCAACTCAGCAAACACCTACTACTCACTGCCAGCTGTCAATCACTCTGCCCACTTCCTGTTTCCTTCTGCAGAGCCCGCCCACCAGGGAAACTACAGCTGTGTTTATCACCTCTTTGTTTTTTCTCATAACTTCTCCTCTGAGAGCCGTCTGCTCTCTGTCACCGTCACAGTCACAGGTGAGCTGTTACACTTTATAAGGCTATATAAAGTAGGTATATATATATACAGGTTATGAGTGATGGGGAGTCAGACAGAGTGATAGGGGCGGGTGGGGCTGCGTTCTTCCTAAAGTCCACAACCATCTCCACTGTCTTGAGAGCATTAAGCTCCAGGTGGTTGTCCCTGCACCAGGTCACCAGATGGTCCGTCTCCCACCTGTAGACAGACTCGTCCTCACCAGAGATGAGTCCGATGGAGGAGGAGGAAGTGAAGGGCCATGTTGACAGCATCATCTACAGATCTGTTGGCTCTGTAGGAGAACTGCAGGGGGTGACATGACATCCAGCAGACCCTGGATCAGAACCTGGACCAGAACCACATATTTTGTGTTTCCTCACTGTTCGGTTGGTTCTCCAGTGAAGTCTAGTTCACATTAGAGTCTGGACCTGAGTACTGACTGCTGGATGTAAGAGATACAGCAGCTTCTCCTACGCTCTGGAAACATGTCAGGCCACATATTAAAGTCTCTCCAGAGGCCACATCAGAGAGAGAGGAGTCTCCATGATGAAGTGGCTTCAGGGTTCAGGTCTCTACAGAGTGTTTGCTGACTTCTAGAGTCTTCTTTTGGAAGACTTCTTTGTCTTTTTCTTCCCAAGTGTTTGCAGATGAAGATGACGCTTTAGCTGCCACAAAATGTCCAGTTCATCAGGATACCAGACTCCTGACAACTTATTATTCCTTGACATGTTTTTTATTTTATCTTCCGTCTAGCCGTGTCCACACCAACCGGTTGATTGTCTAATCAGTTCTAGTTTATATTGGAGTATCAACATGAGTACTATCGGTTTAATGTAACTAACACAGCTATGTATTATAATGACTCCATGTTGCAGTGAGTTCAGGGTTCAGGTCTCTACAGTGTGTTTGCTGACTCTTGATGTGATGCTGTCCATGTGTTCCATCAGATCCAGAACCTTTCATCATCCGAGCCGTCGTCCTGCCGCTGATTCTGCTGCTGGTGCTGCTGGTGACCGTCAGCCTTTACTTCTACTGCAAGGTACGGAAACATGTTGATGTTCCACTGACTGAATGATGAGGGACTGAAACATGTTGTTGTTCCACTGACTGAATGATGAGGGACTGAAACATGTTGTTGTTCCACTGACTGAATGATGAGGGACTGAAACATGTTGTTGTTCCACTGACTGAATGATGAGGGACTGAAACATGTTGTTGTTCCACTGACTGAATGATGAGTGTTGTTGTTGTTCCACTGACTGAATGATGAGGGACTGAACATGTTGTTGTTCCACTGACTGAATGATGAGGTACTGAAACATGTTGTTGTTCCACTGACTGAATGATGAGGGACTGAAACATGTTGATGTTCCACTGACTGAATGATGAGGGACTGAAACATGTTGTTGTTCCACTGACTGAATGATGAGGGACTGAAACATGTTGTTGTTCCACTGACTGAATGATGAGGTGACTGAAACATGTTGTTGTTGTTCCACTGACTGAATGATGAGGTACTGAAACATGTTGTTGTTGTTCCACTGACTGAATGATGAGGGACTGAAACATGTTGTTGTTGTTCCACTGACTGAATGATGAGGGACTGAAACATGTTGTTGTTCCACTGACTGAATGATGAGGGACTGAAACATGTTGTTGTTCCACTGACTGAATGAAGAGGGACTGAAACATGTTGTTGTTCCACTGACTGAATGAAGAGGGACTGAAACATGTTGTTCCACTGACTGAATGATGAGGTACTGAAACATGTTGTTGTTCCACTGACTGAATGATGAGGGACTGAAACATGTTGTTGTTGTTCCACTGACTGAATGATGAGGGACTGAAACATGTTGTTGTTCCACTGACTGAATGATGAGGGACTGAAACATGTTGTTGTTCCACTGACTGAATGATGAGGGACTGATGAGGGAACGGAAACATGTTGTTGTTCCACTGACTGAATGATGAGGGGACTGAAACATGTTGTTGTTCCACTGACTGAATGATGAGGTACTGAAACATGTTGTTGTTGTTTCCACTGACTGAATGAATGAGGGACTGAAACATGTTGTTGTTCCACTGACTGAATGATGAGGGACTGAAACATGTTGTTGGTTCCACTGACTGAATGATGAGGGACTGAAACATGTTGTTGTTCCACTGACTGAATGATGAGGGACTGAAACATGTTGTTGTTCCACTGACTGAATGATGAGGACTGAAACATGTTGTTGTTCCACTGACTGAATGAATGAGGGACTGAAACATGTTGTGTTCCACTGACTGAATGATGAGGGACTGAAACATGTTGTTGTTGTTCCACTGACTGAATGATGAGGGACTGAAACATGTTGTTGTTCCACTGACTGAATGATGAGGTACTGAAACATGTTGTTGTTCCACTGACTGAATGAAGAGGGACTGAAACATGTTGTTGTTCCACTGACTGAATGAAGAGGGACTGAAACATGTTGTTGTTCCACTGACTGAATGATGAGGGACTGAAACATGTTGTTGTTCCACTGACTGAATGAAGAGGGACTGAAACATGTTGTTGTTCCACTGACTGAATGATGAGGTACTGAAACATGTTGTTCCACTGACTGAATGATGAGGTACTGAAACATGTTGTTGTTCCACTGACTGAATGATGAGGGACTGAAACATGTTGATGTTCCACTGACTGAATGATGAGGGACTGAAACATGTTGTTGTTCCACTGACTGAATGATGAGGGACTGAAACATGTTGTTGTTCCACTGACTGAATGATGAGGGACTGAAACATGTTGTTCCACTGACTGAATGATGAGGTACTGAAACATGTTGTTCCACTGACTGAATGATGAGGGACTGAAACATGTTGTTGTTCCACTGACTGAATGATGAGGGACTGAAACATGTTGTTGTTTCACTGACTGAATGATGAGGGACTGAAACATGTTGTTCCACTGACTGAATGATGAGGTACTGAAACATGTTGTTGTTCCACTGACTGAATGATGAGGGACTGAAACATGTTTGTTGTTTCACTGACTGAATGATGAGGGACTGAAACATGTTGTTGTTCACTGACTGAATGATGAGGGACTGAAACATGTTGTTGTTCCACTGACTGAATGATGAGGGTACTGAAACATGTTGTTGTTCCACTGACTGAATGATGAGGGACTGAAACATGTTGTTGTTCCACTGACTGAATGATGAGGTACTGAAACATGTTGTTGTTCCACTGACTGAATGATGAGGGACTGAAACATGTTGTTGTTCCACTGACTGAATGATGAGGGACTGAAACATTTGTTGTTCCACTGACTGAATGATGAGGGACTGAAACATGTTGTTTGTTTCACTGACCTGAATGATGAGGGACTGAAACATGTTGTTCCACTGACTGAATGATGGAGGGACTGAAACATGTTGTTGTTTCACTGACTGAATGATGAGTACTGAAACATGTTGTTGTTCACTGACTGAATGATGAGGGACTGAAACATGTTGTTGTTCCACTGACTGAATTATGATGTACTAATGAATGAGGTACTGAACATGCTTGTTGTTCCACTGACTGAATGATGAGTGACTGAAACATGTTGTTGTTCCACTGACTGAATGATGAGGTACTGAAACATGTTGTTGTTCCACTGACTGAATGATGAGGGACTGAAACATGTTGTTGTTCCACTGACTGAATGATGAGGTACTGAAACATGTTGTTGTTCCACTGACTGAATGATGAGGGACTGAAACATGTTGTTGTTCCACTGACTGAATGATGAGGGACTGAAACATGTTGTTGTTCCACTGGACTGAATGATGAGGTACTGAAACATGTTGTTGTTCCACTTGACTGAATGATGAGTGACTGAACATGTTGTTGTTCCACTGACTGAATGATGAGGGACTGAACATGTTGTTGTTCCACTGACTGAATGATGAGGTACTGAAACATGTTGTTGTTCCACTGACTGAATGATGAGGGACTGAAACATGTTGTTGTTCAACTGACTGAATGATGAGGTACTGAAACATGTTGTTGTTCCACTGACTGAATGATGAGGGACTGAAACATGTTGTGTTCCACTGACTGACAATGATGAGGTACTGAAACATGTTGTTGTTCCACTGACTGAATGATGAGGGACTGAAACATGTTGTTGTTCCACCTGACTGAATGATGAGGGACTGAAACATGTTGTTGTTCCACTGACTGAATGATGAGGGACTGAAACATGTTGTTGTTTCCACTGACTGAATGATGAGGTACTGAAAACATGTTGTTGTTCCACTGACTGAATGATGAGGTACTGAAACATGTGTTGTTCCACTGACTGAATGATGAGGTACTGAAACATGTTGTTGTTCCACTGACTGAATGATGAGGGACTGAAACATGTTGTTGTTCCACTGACTGAATGATGAGGGACTGAAACATGTTGTTGTTCCACTGACTGAATGATGAGTGACTGAAACATGTTGTTGTTCCACTGACTGAATGATGAGGGACTGAAACATGTTGTTGTTCCACTGACTGAATGATGAGGGACTGAAACATGTTGTTGTTCCACTGACTGAATGATGAGGTACTGAAAACATGTTGTTTCACTGACTGAATGATGAGGGACTGAAACATGTTGTTGTTCCACTGACTGAATGATGAGGGACTGAAACATGTTGTTGTTTCACTGACTGAATGATGAGGGACTGAAACATGTTGTTGTTCCACTGACTGAATGATGAGGACTGAAACATGTTGTGTTCCACTGACTGAATGATGAGGTACTGAAACATGTTGTTGTTCCACTGACTGAATGATGAGGTACTGAAACATGTTGTTGTTCCACTGACTGAATGATGAGGGACTGAAACATGTTGTGTTCCACTGACTGAATGATGATACTGAAACATGTTGTTGTTCCACTGACTGAATGATGAGGTACTGAACATGTTGTGTTCCACTGACTGAATGATGAGGTACTGAACATGTTGTTGTTCCACTGACTGAATGATGAGTGACTGAAACATGTTGTTGTTCCACTGACTGAATGATGAGGTACTGAAACATGTTGTTGTTCCACTGACTGAATGATGAGGGACTGAAAACATGTTGTTGTTCCACTGACTGAATGATGAGGTACTGAAACATGTTGTTGTTCACTGACTGAATGATGAGGGACTGAAACATGTTGTTGTTCCACTGACTGAATGATGAGGGACTGAAACATGTTGTTTGTTCCACTGACTGAATGATGAGGGACTGAAACATGTTGTTGTTCCACTGACTGAATGATGAGGGTACTGAAACATGTTGTTGTTCCACTGACTGAATGATGAGGGAACTGAAACATGTTGTTGTTTCCAACTGACTGAATGATGAGGTACTGAAACATGTTGTTGTTCCACTGACTGAATGATGAGGTACTGAAACATGTTGTTGTTCCACTGACTGAATGATGAGGTACTGAAACATGTTGTTGTTCCACTGACTGAAATGATGAGGTACTGAAACATGTTGTTTGTTCCACTGACTGAATGATGAGGGACTGAAACATGTTGTTGTTCCACTGATCTGAATGATGAGGGACTGACACATGTGTGTTCCACTGACTGAATGATGAGGTACTGAAACATGTTGTTGTTCCACTGACTGATGATGAGGGTACTGAAATGTTGATGTTCCACTGACTGAATGATGAGGGACTGAACATGTTGTGTTCCACTGACTGAATGATGAGGTAATGAAACATGTTGTTGTTCCACTGACTGAATGATGGAGGGACTGAAACATGTTGTTGTTCCACTGACTGAATGATGAGGGACTGAACATGTTGTTGTTCCACTGACTGAATGATGAGGTACTGAAACATGTTGTTGTTCCACTGACTGAATGATGAGGACTGAAACTGTTGTTGTTCTCACTGACTGAATGATGAGGGACTGAAACATGTTGGATGTTCCACTGGACTGAATGATGAGGGACTGAAACATGTTGTTGTTCCACTGACTGAATGATGAGGGACTGAAACATGTTGTTGTTCCACTGACTGAATGATGAGGGTACTGCAACATGTTGTTGTTCCACTGACCTGAATGATGAGGGACTGAAACATGTTGTGTTCCACTGACTGAATGAATGAGGTGACTGAAACATGTTGTTGTTCCACTGACTGAATGATGAGGGACTGAAACATGTTGTTGTTCCACTGACTGAATGATGAGGGACTGAAACATGTTTGTTGTTCCACTGACTGAATGATGAGGGACTGAAACTGTTGTGTTCCACTGACTGAATGAGAGGGACTGAAACATGTTGTTGTTCCACTGACTGAATGATGAGGTACTGAAACATGTTGTTGTTCCACTGACTGAATGATGAGGGACTGAACATGTTGTTGTTCAACTGACTGAATGATGAGGGACTGAAACATGTTGTTGTTCCACTGACTGAATGATGAGGACTGAAACTATGTTTTGTTCCACTGACTGAATGATGAGGGACTGAAACATGTTGTTGTTCCACGACTGAATGATGAGGGACTGAAACATGTGTTGTTTCCACTGACTGAATGATGAGGGACTGAACATGTTGTTGTTCCACTGACTGAATGATGAGGTACTGAAACATGTTGTTGTTCCACTGACTGAATGATGAGGGACTGAAACATGTTGTTGTTCCACTGACTGAATGATGAGGGACTGAAACATGTTGTGTTCACTGACTGAATGATGAGGTACTGAACATGTTGTTGTTCCACTGACTGAATGAGAGGGACTGAACATGTTGTTTTCCACTGACTGATGATGAGGGACTGAAACATGTTGTTGTTCACTGACTGAATGATGAGGGACTGAAACATGTTGTTGTTCCACTGACTGAATGATGAGGACTGAAACATGTTGTTCACTGACTGAATGATGAGGGACTGAAACATGTTGTTGTTCCACTGACTGAATGATGAGGGACTGAAACATGTTGTTTGTTCCACTGACTGAATGATGAGGTACTGAACATGTTGTTGTTCCACTGACTGAATGATGAGGTACTGAAACATGTTGTTGTTCCACTGACTGAATGATGAGGTACTGAAACATGTTGTTGTTCCACTGGACTGAATGATGAGGTACTGAAACATGTTGTTGTTCCACTGACTGAATGATGAGGTACTGAAACATGTTGTTGTTCCACTGACTGAATGATGAGGGACTGAACATGTTGTTGTTCCACTGACTGAATGATGAGGTACTGAAACATGTTGTTGTTCCACTGACTGAATGATAGGGACTGAAACATGTTGTTGCTTCCACTGACTGAATGATGAGGGACTGAAACATGTTGTTGTTCCACTGACTGAATGATGAGGGGACTGAAACATGTTGGTGTTCCACTGACTGAATGCATGAGGGACTGAAACATGTTGATGTTTCACTGACTGAATGATGAGGTACTGAAACATGTTGTTCCCACTGACGAATGATGAGGTACTAACATCATGTTGATTGTTCCACTGACTGAATGATGAGGGCTCACTGAACCTGGTGTTTCACGACTGAATGATTGACGGAGGTACTGAAGATGTGTTCCCACTGACTGAATGATGAGGGAACTGCAACATGTTGTTGTTCCACTGAGCTGAATGATGAGGGATGAAACATGTTGATGTTTCGACTGACTGAATTGATGAGAGGTACTGAAACATGTTGTTGTTCCACTGACTTGAATGATGCTGGACTGAAACATGTTGTTGTTCCACTGACTGCATGATGAGGGTACTTGAAACATGTTGATGTTTCACTGACTGAATGATTGAGGTGGTACTGAAACATGTTGTTTGTTCCACTGCTGAATGATGAGGCTACTGGAAACATGTTGTTTGTTCCACTGACTGCATTGATGAGGTAACTGAAACATGTTGTTGTTCCACTGACTGCATGATGAGGTACTGAAACATGTTGTTGTTCCACTGACTGCCCTGATGAGGTACTGAAAATGTTGTATGCTTCCACTGCCTGAATTGATGAGGTACTGAAACATGTTGTTGTTCCTTCCCACGGACTGAATGATGAGGTACTGAAATATGTTGTTCCACTGACTGAATGATGAGTGACTGAAACATGTGTTGTTCCACGACTAATGATGAGGGTACTGAAACATGTTGTTCCACTGACTGAATGATGAGGGACTGAAACATGTTGTTGTTTCACACTGACCTGAATGATGAGGGACTGAACATGTGTTGTTCCACTGACTGAATGATGAGGTACTGAAACATGTTGTTGTTCCACTGACTGAATGATGACGGTACTGAAACATGTTGATGTTCCACTGACTGAATGATGAGGGACTGAAACATGTTGTTGTTGTTCCACTGACTGATGATGAGGGACTGAAACATGTTGTTGTTCCACTGACTGAATGATGAGGTACTGAAACATGTTGTTGTTCCACTGACTGAATGATGAGGTACTGAAACATGTTGTCCATGACTGATGGATGAGGGACCTGAAACATGTTGTTGTTCCACTGACTGAATGATGAGGGACTGAACATGTTGTTTGTTCCACTGATGAATGATGAGGGAACTGAACTGTTGTTATTCCCACTGACTGAATGATGAGGTACTGAAACATGTTGTTGTTCCACTGACTGAATGATGAGGGACTGAAACATGTTGTTGTTCCACTGACTGAATGATGAGGGACTGAAACATGTGTTATTCCACCTGACTGAATGGATGAGGGACTGAAACATGTTGTTCCACTGACTGAATGATGAGGGACTGAAACATGTTGTTGTTCCACTGACTGAATGATGAGGTACTGAAACATGTTGTTGTTCCACTGACTGAATGATGAGGGACTGAAACATGTTGTTATTCCACTGACTGAATGATGAGGGACTGAAACATGTTGTTCCACTGACTGAATGATGAGGGACTGAAACATGTTGTTGTTCCACTGACTGAATGATGAGTGTACTGAAACAGGTTGTTGTTCCACTGACTGAATGATGAGTACTGAAACATGTTGTTTTCCCACTGACTGAATGATGAGGTACTGAAACATGGTGTTCTGATTCCACTGACTGAATGATGGCGGACTGAAACATGTTGTTGTTCCACTGACTGAATGATGAGGGACTGAAACATGTTGTTGTTCCACTGACTGAATGATGAGGGACTGAAACCTGTTGTTGTTCCACTGACTGAATGATGAGGGACTGAAACATGTTGTTGTTCCACTGACTGAATGATGAGGGACTGAAACATGTTGTTCCACTGACTGAATGATGAGGCACTGAAACATGTTGTTGTTCCACTGACTGAATGATGAGGGACTGAAACATGTTGTTGTTCCACTGACTGAATGATGAGGGACTGAAACATGTTGTTGTTCCACTGACTGAATGATGAGGGACTGAAACATGTTGTTGTTCCACTGACTGAATGAAACAGTGTGTGTTATTGAACAGGAGTGATGCAGGAAGTCTTATCTGTGTGCTGTCATGTCTCTCCAGGCCACCAGGGGGCGGAGGCCGAGCCGACAGGAGGACATTGAGCTGGATTATGATGACATTGAGCTGGATTATGATGACCTGGATGCTCCTGCAGAAGAGGAAGGGGCTCCGGGAGCAGAGTAGCACCTCCAACGACCTCCACACACACACACACACACACACACACACACACACACACACACACACACACACACACACACACACACACACACACACACACACACACATTTGTTGTATCACATTAAAAAGATAGCATATTTTCCTTGTTCTCAACTTGTAAATACCACACCATCAATATGTCTTTTCTGACTTCCTGTCAGCTCCAAGCCCATTGGTTCCTTCTGAAGACGTAGATCTTTAACAACAACTCAAACATTTGGTTGAATTTAACCAAAGTCAAAGCAGTTGGTGCAGTTTGAAACCAAAGACACAGCAACCCCGGCTGAATAATGTTATATATAATAATGTAATAAAACTAGTCAAATATCCTCTGAAATCTGCATTGCATTACCTGAAGCCAATAGCCGCGTTCACACCGCAGTACTGTTCACACTTTAGTTCCGATATAGATCCGAAATGTCTCGTTCACACCAAAAAGAGTCGGAACTAAAATGAGTTCATGAGAACCTTTTCACCCCCTTTTCCGTCCCTGCTAGAGAGCAGAGACTTTCGTGGGAGAAAAGGTTCCTGTGTCTGATTGGCTGGAAGGACTGCAAACCACGCCCCGTAGAACTCCCAAAAAAAATTGTGAAGCTGCCATTTTATTATCCTGGCATTAGCATTAGCATTAGCCCAGCGCAGAAACGCAGAGAGACTAACTTATGGCAACACAAAATAAAACATGGGAGCGGTGGAGATGAGGAGGTGTCGGCGTTCTGGCGATTTACTCGGAAGGCTTCAGTAGAAGCTGCTGGGACTCCCAGCAGCTTCTACTGAAGCCTTCCCCAACTCCGGGGACTTTGGGCGGCAGTATACGCCGTGAAGTGGTTTGCAGCCTGCCAGTAAACCCAAAGCAGAAGAAGAAGAAGTGACGTCAGCGGCTTCATTTGCCTAATCCTCCCTCAGGGACTTATTGCGGTGTGAACGCGATCTGAACTTAGTTCATGAGAACTAAAGAGTTCTGATGAACTAAGTTCTCATTCACCTTTGTGGGAAAAGTACTGCGGTGTGATGAATGCGCCTAATGAATCCAGAGAGAACAGGAGAAAGGTGTTACAGCGCCACCTACTGGTGGATTGAGCACATCGAGAGTTGGTGTTTTTTTATTTCAACAAGCATTCAAAGCTCGGTTTTATCAAATGGTGTGAGAAGTTTAGCCAGAAATGTTGCTTAAAAATCATTATAATACACATTAAAAACAAAAATTAATACTTCCAACGATTTTCGTGTTTAAGGATGAAATATTTTGACATTTTTGTAATTAACAAATGTTTTTTTATTTCATAATAATTTTGCTAAGTTTTTCTATGAGGTTGAAGGATTACATGACGTCCTATTTGCTGTGCTTAGTTTAGACATCAAGATTTGCGCTTATTATATATCATTAAGGATTTGTTTTATTTGAGTTGTAATTCATTCATGTAACCTACCCTCCCTCCTACCTACCTTCCCTACACTGTATTTTGCCACTTTCCTTAAATCCATGCTTAATGTTGTATCACACATTGTTTACCATGTGACCAAAAAAACAATAAAATTACTTTAATAATCCAGAAAGCTCTGTGGATATTTATTCATGGTTTGTTGGAATATTTTCATTAAAACTTTCTTTGCATTTGCCATATCATATATCATATATAATAATTACTCTGCATGACCCCCAATATCCTATTATGTCATTGTTACAACCCAGATCCAAAATGATTTAGTGGGTCTCACCTGCTAATCTTTTGCTGTATCTAATGCTGCGTTCACACCGGACCTGCGAAGACTCGTGTAGTTGGACGCAGGGGACGGCGATCCCCCGCGTCCAACTACCACTACACCACTGATTTATGGTAAATATAGTAAAATAATTACTCTGCATGACCTGTTTGTTCAGAGAGGAGGCTGAGCTGCACACATTTATATAATCTTTACCTACCTACATCTTTTAAAAAGTACATACAATACAAGTGTCTCTGCATTGACTTTACATGTAATCGCGCCACCCCCAAATCGCATGGCGTCCGGTGTGAACGCAGCATAAGAGGTTACTCTCCGACAAGTCATCTGCAACTTCCATCTTATTTAATTAGTCGTAAAGAGACAATTCAAGACTCAATGTTGGGACTTTGTGGAACTGGGATTGACATTTTTCAATATCTTCTGACATCTTATAGACATAACTATTAATTGATGATAAAAAAAACAACTCAGATTAAACTACTTGTTTCAGATCCAGTGAAAACGATATATTTTTGATCAGCTGCTTTTTATTTGTTTTCTTACAAAAGAAGTTTAAATAAAAATCCTCCCACAGGTGAAGCTTCCCGACGCTTCCTTCAAACAATCCTCTCAGGATCCAGCTGTGCGTGTGCGTGTGTGTGTGTGTGTGTGTGTGTGTGTGTGTGCGTGCGTGTGCGTGTGTGTGTCACTGTGAGGCGGGGGGGGGCGAACATCTGCATGGTCTCCAAGACGAGCGACAGATTATCCAGGAAAGAGTTCACAGAGACCCGGAGGATCCGAGCCTCGTCAGCACTCCACCTCCTGAAGCACAGAAGAAGAAGGAGGTTAGACTGTGTGTGTGTGTGTGTGTGTGTGTGTGTGTGTATCTGTCCGTGTGTGTGTCTGTGTATATGTGTGTGTGTATACATGGTATGTGTGTCTGTGTGTATATATGTGTGTTTGTATATGTGTGTGTGTCTGTATATGTGTGTGTGTGTCAGAGTTCCCGTTAGAATATGTTTTCGCCGGTCAACATGTCCGTTAAAGTTTAAATCTTCCGGACAAAATGAGAAAAGTTCCGGTCAAAGGTCTTCTTTGTTATTTATTGTGCTTTAAAACAAATTGATGATTCGATATTAAACAAACTAATTATAGTAGATTAACTACATTATTCAAAAGTGTTCAGTAACTTATAATAACACGGGAATAATAAACGGAGCGCTCTCCCTCTCCTGACAGCCCGTCAGTATCATGCAGCTCGAGGATCAGTAATGAGTGACCCGACAGTAAAACTAAACACATCTATAACTAGTTACGGTAGTTTGAGAGGTCATTAAAATAGCTACGTGTGATATTCTAACCTGAAGTGTGTGTTTTGTCCGCTCACCGCTGCAGGTGATCATGCTGAGCTGCGTGTCGACTCGTCAGCAGCAGCTGATCTCTCTCTCCCGTCAGATTAGACTTCACTCGCGTTTATGTCCATATCGATCAGAGCTAGTTCTAGCTAATGATAGGACTACCTGCTTATTAAAAGACACCTAAACAATAAGCGTCGCTATGCAACCGGGTGAGGCCACAAAGTATAGCGCAGCATTATGCATTTGTTTACATGCCCACCGGAACCCCGAGGCATTACCAACAGATCAACGCACAATCAACCCATCCAGGACATCTCTTTCTCCACATTAAGTGTTAGACATTAGAATTGACTATTCTTGTCTGTCACATAAGTGGCGCAACTGAAGCGGTATTGCGCTAAAGGGAAATTATTTGGACGGACACTTTGACCGGAGAGATTTAGATTTGCCGGTCTTCAGCATATTTTACCGGTCGTAGTCCAGTAATTACCGGCTAACGGGAACTCTGGTGTGTGTGTGTGTATACATGGTATGTGTGTGTGTGTGTCTGAGTGTGTGTGTGTGTGTGTGTCTCCTCACACAGTCAGCGTCCTGTCCGTCACCATCAGCTGTTTGTGGATCCCTCCCTTCCTGGGCTCTCGGTCTGGAGACAGAGAGCCCAGAGCGATGGAGGCGTCTCTGGGGGAGGGGAAGGGGACGTCCAGCCGGCTGAGGGGCGGGGCTTAGGCTACAAACAACTAACTTCATCACAAACACTCAGATCAAATACCTTTTAACCCCCAGTAGGGATATCTAGGAGTCATAGCAGCAACAGATAAGAGTCCACACGATTCAAATTAGACATACGGTACGGTCTACTGTATATTTTCTACTTTTTAATAATGCTTTCATTCTATTTTGAGATGTTTAAATTCTGGTATTGTTTATTTCTACTTATGTTTTGTTTTGTTGTTGTTGTTGCTGACGCTCCGTTACACATAAGCTAACTACTCGTCTAATCAGCCAAGTGTACTTTAGGTACAAGTACTCGGCAACATGTACTTCTGCAGTATTTTCAATCCACCTTCCCTGGCTCTCAGTACAAACCCCTCCTCCTCACGTACAAGTCTCTCCTCGCCCCCCAGTACTCGACGGACCTCCTCCACCCCTCACCATGACCTCTGACCCCTCACAGCCCCCTGCTTCCACTCCTACTGCCTATTATTTCTTTTGTTGTCTGTCCTTAACTCTTGTAAAGCGGCCTTGGGTCCCTTGAAAGGCGCTATATAAATTAAATATACTATTATTATGAGCAACATTTGACTAACTTTTCTATAGATTGATTATATCGTCCTGCTTTTGTTTTGTGTTCCTTGTACGGCGACATTGAGAGCCTTGAAAGGCGCCTATATACATTCAATCTATTATTATGACTTCCATATCTCTAACTGTCTTGTCTCTATGTCTGAGCTTATTGCTTGTCTTTGTTCTTTTGGAAGCCTACTTGAGATTAGACGGTGTTTCAGGTTTTAATACACAAAGTCTAATTCTTTATAAACCCTAACAGGTGGCAATACACTGAATGAACTTGTAATAGCAGCTTTAATAAAACATCCAGACATTCAGCTCACTAACAGACACTCTTACCGCGTTTCAGAACCAGTCAGATCCGTCTCACACATAGATTTAAATACTCATTCAAGTCAAACATGATATATTATTCTCCATCCCAGAGAAGCTAACAGAAACAACAGAAACATGTAGCATTAAGCTAATGAAGGAAAGCTAACAGGACGTTTTTTAAACCAGTAAACACTAGAAGGAGACTTTGAACCACAGATAAGATTTAACTATTAACATTAGGAGCAGATTTAAAGGATACAACTGCAGTTTCTCCGATTCTGGATTCATTTCTCTGTCCGTCGCCGCCATCGTGTTTGTTTACAGAAAGTCGATAAAGCAGCACTTCCGGTTGGAGATTTAACTCACTTAGCGCTGCTGCCCCGGAGCGGCGGAGGGCGGTACTGCAGCCAATATTAATAATAAATATGATTATTCATATTATCATCATTATCATAACAGTAATGATAATGATAATTATAATAATAATATAATCTTAATATTTTTTTAATGAATATAAAATATGTTTAGTACAGTAAAACACATTGTATTTGACTTATTTAAATAAAAACAGCGATATCACGATAATAAATTGCCTTAAAAAATATATAACATTAGCAAAAAGTACTTTATGCATCACATAAGAAACAAGTGACATTTACATATGTCATAAGTGGTTTTTTTTAATACAGTTTAAACCCTATTTATAATAATTATTCATATCAATATTATTTCG